AACCATCAGGAAAGTCTAGACGTTTCGATAATTAATGGGCAGTTCCACGATCTTCTGGCAATGTTAGAGAACCTCATTGAAAATCCAAGATCAACATAAATTATTTCATTTTGAATTTGGGAAAATTAAGGGAACCTTAGAGAAGATCCGTAAATTTCAGGGAAGTTCAAAGAACTCCAGGGAAGTTACAAATTTTCAGGAAATCTAAGAGAACTTCACAGGAGTCCATAGAAAAGCAGGAAAACTTCGAGTACTTCATAAATTTCAGAAAATGTTAAGGAAATTCCATGAACTTTAAGAACGAACATCAGCGAAATGAAGGAACACTTTAAATGAAGTTCCGTAAGTTTGGGAAACTTCAGGAAAATACCGGAAAATTTGGAGGCGTAGTCCAGAAAACTTCAGAGCACCACCCTAGTCCAGTGGTTAACAATGAAGCTTAGGGATTCTTTGAACTATTGTATAAAGTTCAGGGCAATACCAAGGGCTGTAGGAGAATTTCAAGAACTTTATAGAAACTCCGAAAACTTCAAGGAAAAAGATCAGAGACCCTTAGGGCAGTTCCATTAGCTTCAGGTAAATTACAGAAATTTTAAAGAACTTTTATGAAATTGTCAAATCTTCATAATCTTCCTAGAATTCCAGGAAAAAACAGGTAAATATGAAATATCCAGAGTCAAAATATGTTACAGAAAGTTCCGTGAACATCCGGGTAGCTTCAAAAGCTTCGAAAAAACTTCAATACAGTTCCATTTACCTCAGGAAGGTTGTGGGAACATTAAGATGTTCCGAGAACTTCAGAAAAGTACGGTGAAATTCAGGGAAGTCAAGATAATATCAAGGAAGTTCAGAGAACTTCGAGGAAAACTTCATGATTTTCAGGGATGTTCTATGAACATTTGAAAAATTGCAGAAACTCTTTGGAATTTCCTTACGTCTTTTATCTGACTATAGAATATAACAGACACGTTCCAAGTTACCCTGTCTGCTGGTATTGTCGCTACAGCTGAAACCTGGAAAACCCAGCTAGCTCAAATTGATTTTATTCTCGTTTTATACGTTGGGAGAGGGACATTTTGCCGTAGGACGTTTCGCCGAAGGACGTTTCACCAAAGGACGTTTCGCCGAAGGACGTTTCGCCGAAGGACGTTTCGCCGAAGGACGTTTCGCCGAAGGACGTTTCGCCGAAGGACGTTTCGCCGAAGGACGTTTCGCCGAAGGACGTTTCGCCGAAGGACGTTTCGCCGAAGGACGTTTCACCGAAGGACGTTTCGCCGAAGGACGTTTTGCCGAATGACGTTTCGCCGAAGGACGTTTCGACGGAGGTCATTTCGACGAAGGTCATTTCGACGAAGGTTATTTTGCCAAAGAGGAAGCCATTTTCTAAGGTTTTGAATTTTTCTCAAGCCTTAGTAAATTTTGAAATCAGTTTCAAAAAAAGATTAAGATGGTTCGATATTTTCAACCTGGCAAGCTATTCAAATAATGCTTCCTTCTTCTTCTTTTGAACATGAGCAGTTCTGTTTTCAGAAATTTTTAAGCAATCCATGTATTACATTTTAGAAATGCCTATTCGGCAAAATTACCCATTTGGTGAAATGTTCTTCGGCGAAACGTTCTTCGGAAAAACTATCTTCGGCAAAATGACACAGCCCTTTAATTGTTATACTTAGAGTTGGAAGTAGTGCGCATTAGAACGAGAGTAAAATCAATTTTCGCTGTTGATTTCTGGTGGTGTAGCTAGAGACTGCAAACTTAACAACAATTTAATACATTGAAACCTCCGTTTACGAAGTCTTTTTTTACACAATATTCAATTTACGTCGCTCTTTTTACGAAGTAAATCCCAAATAACGTGGTTTTTTTTACGAAGAAAATCCCAAATAACGAGATTTTTTCCGATTTTTTGAAACTGAGTAATACCAACAATCAATACGAAACTAACGATTTTAAATTGGCTCACCACTTTAGTAGCCTATTAGTCCCAAGCAAACGATTAACGTACCCTATTCTAGTAGAAATTCTATTACTACACTATGTTTGTTTTGATTCGCTATGAAAGTTTGACAGATAACATCAGGGGTGTGTGGATTCATGCAGAACATGCAGGGGTGAGTGAAATAGCTTGGGACTGCTTGGGACCGTTGTTCTGGTACTGAGTGAGCCAAAAATAATAATGATTTTCTTCGGGACTCTATGGTAATACTGTGAAATAGCTCACAATGTGGGTATTTTTAGGATCGGAGTGACGTGCAGGGATCGGAAATCAATGTCTGACGCCATTTTCAAATCCAAGATGGCGGCTCCCGGTTACAGAAAACATGGAAATTCTGTCAAATACCCCACGGTATAAGTATTTTTTAAATCGGAGTGACATGTAGGAACTCAAAATCGATGTCTATCGCCATTTTGAAATCCAAGATGGTGGTTTCCATTTGCCGAAAAACTGGAAAATACTGTCGAACACCCCACAAAAGGGGTAGTTTTGGAATCGGGGTATCGTGTAGGGACCGCAAATGTCTGACGCCACTTTGAAATCCAAGATGGCAGCTTCCGGTAGCAGCAAAACTAGAGAATACATTCTAATACCCCTCAATATGGGTATTTTTGAAATCGGTGTGACATGAAGGAATCAGAAATCCATGTCTGATGCCATTTTTAAATCCAAGATGACGGCTTCCGATTAAAGGAAAACTTGGAAATTCTGTCAAATACCCCACAATGTGGTAATCTTTGAAATCAGATTGACGTGTAGGGACCGGAAATTCATGTCTGTCATCATTTTGATATCCAAGACAGTCACCATTTTGATATTTGACAGTATTTTCCAGTTTTTCTGTAACCTGGAGTCTTTGTCAAAATGGCTTCATACATGGGTTTCCGGTACTAACACTTCACCCGATTCCAAATATACCCATATTGTGGGTTGTTTAACAGTATTTTTTTCTGATTTTATGAAACCGGTAGTCGCCATATTGAATTTCAAAATGGCATCAGACATCGAGCTCCGGTCCTTGCACATCTCTCCGATTCCAAAAACACCCATATTGGGGGGTATTTGACAGTATATCCCAGTTACTCTGCAACCGGAAACCGCCATATTGGATTTGAAAATAACGTCAGTCATCGATTGTCAGTTCCTACACGTCACCCAGAATCCAAAAATACCCATATTGTGGGGTATTTAGTATTATTTTTTCTGATTTTCACATTTTGACAGTCTGGGTGACGTGTAGGGACCGGAACTTGATGCGGTCCCTAAACGTCACCCAGATTCCAAAAATACCCATATTGTGAGGTTTTTGGCAATATTTTCAAAAACCTCTTTTTAAGAAGCAAATCCCAAAAAACGAGGTTTCACGCACTAATTCGTGTTACGAACCCTCGGTTTGGTTCGTAAATGGAGGTTCCTGTGCAAAAGAACTGGACAATCCTCAGAGCTCCAGGAACATCAAAAACTTCAAAATGTATTGGTAACTATTTTGAAAACTTCTGAAACAAACAGGAACTTTCAGAACTTCTCGATCTCCAGCAACGTTTAGAGCTCTTAGGAATTATCACAAATTCTGGTAAGTAGCTATCGCCGACTTTATGGATTGAACAGCTCCTAGAACATTAAGAACTGCAAAAACTTTCAGGACTGATGGGACCTTACTTGATGTACCATGCACATAAAAGAAGCGTCAAATATCATACAGGTTTACATGATAGATCGTGAAAAGTTATGAGATGTTTCATGAAATATTCCAAATACTGTATGCAACTGTTCATCTTTGTAAGCAACATTTCATTCAAGGTGATAGTTCACGAGAAAAGAAAAACAAGATTACACGCTTGAATGTTTACATCACATACCAGTATAAGAACTCCGACACATTCATTTCTAGATAGAGCTAGAATTTGGGCTTAACAGCTTTTGTAAACATTGACTTCTCTCGATGATTACTTGGAATTCAAGGTACGCCCACCCAAACCAACATAACCGTCTTGAAGGGGAAGTCTTCCCATACTCGATAGTGTTGTTGATTTGCGTTGGCGAGCCTTGACTTTCTAGAAATCATAGAAAATAGTAACTGTTTACAAAAGCTGTTACCCTCTAATTCCAGCTCTATCTAGATTTGATATTAATGAAACGCTCTCCTTAATTAATCATTTTAAGAGATGAACTAGCCTATGGCTAAAAATCTCTATAATAAAGGGAAAAAAAAAAAAAAATTAATCATTTTGTCAAGCTTCTGCATTCATGTTCCATCTGATGTCACTGCTATTGTTTGCGGTGACATCTATCGGAAACTACACACAATCTGTTTTCCTATAATTGTTCACAGAGGACACTGCAGTGCAAAACATGTCTGGTACCTCTGTATATATGCATTTAGATTATTATTCGAAGTCCCTCCTTTTTTACACATTCTGCACACAAAATAGCTCACCCCTCACAGAATTGCTTGCCGATTTTTATTTATGGGGCGGGGCATAAAGTACATTTTGCGCAGAATATGTTAAAAAGAAGGGACTTCAAATGTTAAAGCAAATGCATATATAGAGGTACCAGACATGTTTTGTAGTGTCAGGTACTCTATTTTGTAATCTATGAAAGGGAAATCACAAATCGAGTGTCAACAAAATACATGGCATGTTGAGAGATTCAGGTCGTGAGAGCAAATTTACTCTCTCAAATTTGAATTTTTTGGCTCCCTGGGATCTGGTAGTAAAGCATATAAAACTGTATGGGGAACAATCATTTTTATTTAATTGTGGCTTGTTTAACAATAATTTTCGGGAAAAAACTGAACGACAAAGTCCCTGATTAATTTCTTTAGGTTGACATTCACTTTGTTTGACCTGAATATGCACCGAAAGCGAATTATTCCCACTTCTATCAATTTCTATATGGGGATTTTTATCACTTCCTACCAGCGGAGCTGCGCCATCTCTGTGGAAAATGATCGAACAAAATGATTAATTCAAATCAATCTCTTTCAAACTAATTTTTGCAGAGCCTTTGACGTCTACTGGAACATCCCGACGTTCATGTGCAACAAGTATCAGATGGACTTCTCCAGCATAGGACCCACTTACGGGGTGCAGCAAAACGGGAACGACAGCTTCCGCGGCGGTGCCATTTCTATTCTATACGATCCGGGCAAGTTCCCTGCCCTGCTGGAGAAAGCGTCCACCCGGGTGCTGTACAAGCGAAACGGCGGGGTGCCCCAGGAGGGAAACCTAACCGAGCATTTGGACATCTTCCGCAAGCACATGGATGAGCTGGTGGCGGATCCGGAGTTTTCCGGCAAGAATCTGCTCTGCATCTGCCGATTTTAAGCTGCTTACAGATTTTTTTTTGTACTTTGGCACAGGGGTAGGAGTCATCGATTTCGAGTCGTGGCGACCGATCTTTCGACAAAACTTTGGTTCGCTTCAACCGTACAAGGACCTCTCGATGAAGATCGAGAAACAGAGGCATCCGAATCTGCCCCCCAAGTGGCTGGAAGCTGAGGTAAGCATGACTTGAAATTTTGTGTATAACGTTTCCTTTCGATGGTTTACTAACGAGTTGCCAAAAAAGCTGTCCAGGCTTTGGGTTTCACTCAAAGGAAAGGGGTCATATTCTCCTACAGAATCAAGCATGCAATTCTTCATCGTTTGCGAATCGAGTCTTCAAACCCTGCTGCAGACTAATTTCGATAATATCTGAAGGGTAGAATGTTTGGAATAAGCAAAACGGATAGGATTGTTTACTCATGCTTTTTTTTTCATTCTGCAATTCTTCCACTGACTGTTTTTGCAATCTATCAGGACCAAAGCCATCCGCCTGGAAAATGGGTATAAATTTGAATTAATGGAGCGTCATCACTTGGCAGCAAAGTGGCTGTGGACAAATGAAATGCTAAATTGAAGGAAAACAGCAAACCAAAGCTAAGGGAATATTATGCTTGTTCGATCGAATCATACGAAGAATGAAATCTTATTAACTGATTGAATTCCAGTGATTTAAACTTCACCAATTTCTGTACCCTGTACGCCGAGTTGTGAACCCGGATTGTGTTTTCCTCGGCAAAATTTTCCACTATAGGAAAAAAATATACTCCATTAACAAATTGCCTCATCATCGGAAACCCATTCCCTACGAATGGACTCAGGCTTTCCCCCAATGTTTCACTTCCAAGAACTGATGAAAGTTTACAGTTCCTTTTAGATCATCCATTTCGGTCGAAGGGTTCAATTTATAGACATTAGTGTCGACACGTGGCTCTAAAAATCACCAAAAACTCTCACCCCGGCACGAGATCATAAAAAGCTTATCGGAAAAACGAAATCGCTTTTACGACTTGGCAACCAACCTCGCAAAGACCAGACGGGCTTGGATAGGGGAAAAAAGAGTGCCGCTCGACTGTGTTCCAATTAAGACGCGTGTTATCCTAATGGCAGACTTGTCACGATGAAGTGACGGAAATTGGCACAATAAACGTCCGCCTGCAGTTCGCCTGCAACGCGGGTTCATTTTTATGGCCCCGCCCCAAATTAACCCCTTGCTGGGTCAGCTTGTGCACCGAGGGCTAATGAAACTGCTGTTCAATTTGCGAAACACCATTAATCAAACTTATCGATTCTGCAAGCAGGAAGGCAATTTGAGCAATTAAACCGGAACCCAATAGAAGCCTCTTCGACATGCGATGATGATGATGATGATGATGACGATGATGATGATTTGCTAAGAGCTCACAACTGTTGCTTGCTTGTGGGTAAACTGGTACGGCTGCCGCTGAAGAGAACAGTGCAACAGCAGCGCCGCCGTATGTGTAGTGTGGTCTCTAAGCTAGCGTCACTAATTTCCTTTTATTGCCCTCTCAGCAGGAAACTAATTTACTTTTAGGAAGTTTGCTTCCTTGCGGTTTTGCAGAAACGAAAAATATACAACGCTCATGTACGATAGGTACAGGTTGCAGGATCTGCTTCGCTTTGGTTGGATAGTCAGTTGCTGGTTGAAGCGGAACATGCTCTACGGGCGGAAACGGAAAGTCAGCCAAAGCGAAGCCAAGAATTATACCCCTCTTAGTACGCTTGTCGAATATCGTTTCCTGACTCAGAGATTATGGAGACGATGTGGCAAATCTAGGATTAAAGCAAACAATTTAAAAAACTTCTACTGAGCAGTTCCACGCCAGATGACGAAAAAACTAGCCGTTCTACGATTTGCAAGAAACCTTGCATAATTGTGTTTTATAAAATTGGGCCATTTTGGATCCCGCACTTTTTTTTTTAAATTGGCGTCTGCTATTTTTCAATAAATTGTAGTAGAAAAACGTCACTTCTGATCGAAATGATGTCCGAGACAACGTTGTAGGGAAAATATACACGAATATAAATATTCGAATTCTCAAAGAATTAAAAACAAAACCGGTATTCTACACGGCGAATGAGAGCGACTCAAATTTGAGTTTAGTTAACTTATAATCGCCAAAAATGCAGGAACTCAGCGATGAGTAAATTTGTCTCATAGTTTCCTGTGGAAAACCTAAAAAATCTGTCAGAAAATGAGGACATTGACGAAAATTTTATTCAGTCTCGGAGTAGTACCAATAGACTGAGTGAATCAAATCTTTCCTTTTCTCAAATTCGGGAATTTTCCCCTGGAAAATCCTGGGAAAACCTGGGAAAACATGAGGCAAATTACTCATCGCTGAGTTCCTGCACTTTATGTGATTTATGAGTTGACAAAACTCAAATTTGGGTTGTTCTCGTTCGCCGTGTACACAAAAGCGGACAAAGGTGATGCAGAAGGGATTTTGGACAACGGGGGAATATGACAATTGGATGAAGGAAAAAAATACTAATGGCCCATACAGGCAGTTGAGGATTGACCACCTCCCATCTATGGTTAAACAGGTGGATAAAACGTTGAAAGAATGCAATGCATTTATTGGAAACACTACGAGTCTATTGAAAGGTTCAAACCCTATTCTACTTAGGACCAAAGGTTTGCCAAACATTCACAAACCAGGAAACGGAATGAGGGAGATTATCTCGGCTGACGGATCACCCACTCATAGGCCAGTGATGCAAAATATCATGACACTCACGTGACACTCGTCTACGCATCAACCGACTATCGCTGACAGAACTTTTTGTCACGCAGTGAGAGGTAGAGTAATGGCAAACAACAATCACCAGTAATGGTCGCTGCTCACAAGCAAAACGTTACACTCACTGCTGATGATGAAAAGCACAACGAAAACAGTGAAGACTTCTGCAGTACGATCATGAGAAAAAAGCGAAACGACAGAAGAAAATGAAAACAATGCCTACGCATTCCCTGTTTGTCTCGGCAGGCGCGACTGTGTGAGTTACAATCAAAGCAGGCAACATAGCAAGCAAAGCAGCAACTGCTTCAAAACGAGCACAGATGAGTGTCGTGATTGTCGGGAATGACCGGGTCGGTGATGGATCACAACAAAAGACGACATTCACCAGTTGCTTTTTACTTCTTTCGTCAACTTGATGGATGCTCATGGAGAGAGCTTTGACGAGCACATTGATAGGAATGTACAAATCGTTACTACCATCCGCTGTTTGGCAATCGTGACTGTGATAGGTCGCAACTCTGCTAATAGGCTAGTAAAGGAATGTCAAAATATGCCTAACCCCTTTGCCACTAGCTCAGGTAACAGCACACAGGAATTCACAAATGAACTTCAGGCATCAGGAGAGATTCGGGAAGATGAAGTCGTGGTTTCATTTGATGTCACAGCACTTTTTTTTCGAGTGTACCAGTAAAGGAAGCCATCTGGCTTTTAGAGGACTGGCTTCTGAAGCAACGTGAGAATTCTACTTGGAAAAACAAATTTCGGTTATATCTGAAGCACACTTGTCTTTGTATGTAAGAAAATTATTTAATTTTCAGAGGAAATTTTTTCTAGTAAAAACTAAAGGTGCTCCTATGAGCAATCTGCTTTCACCATTTTTATGTGAATTGTTCATTACTAACCTAGAGATCGCAGTAGGCTACGCTTGAAAGCTGACGTGTTATTCTTTTGCTGCGTATTTTTCGTAAGCGAATTAAACACATTTTGGCTTTAAATTTGTTAATTTGTCTGCTAAAATTTAGTTGCAAGAGTTCATAAAGTTATAATTTAGTGATATATCGTGTTTTGCCTGTGATTGCCTTGAGTGGCTCGGTTGAACTTGAATCTAACCTCCAAAATAAACAACTCATATCCAGTTCCATTGTTGGTGTCGATTTTCATTACCTCCCGGGAGCCCGGTTATCCGAGTTCGGATGCTACACTTTCGGCGTTTCTATGGAAAGATAGTTCCAGTTGGTGAATTAGCCCGGAACGTGTTGATAATGTGTTCGTGGCGAGTTTTTGTGGTGATTCGGTGGCCGACGTTGCCGTGAATCAGCAAGTTTTCCGCTTGCAAAAGTGCTCGGCTGCTTGGTCTCTCGCCGGTGTCAGAGATTGCGAGCGATATTAAAGATGCCTCGATGGATACGCCCAAGACTGGACGGGCGGGAGTTGGTGGCCGCGAACTGTTCCTTGGGAAAAGCACTACAGGCGAACCTCCTCCCAGATGGCCATGACAATGCAAGGAAATTTGTTTTCGTTAAAGTAAGTATTACGACAAAGGTGCATCACGAAATGAGATGCAAAGCTTAGAGAAAATCAAAATTACGGGACCAATGGATTGGAGGATCAATTTAACATGGTGAGACCAGTCCAAATACATTTTACAATTTAAAAAAACATAAACTAAATACGTCCCAGGTTTGAAAAGAATATTGTCGTGTATGTAGTGTCAATATCCATTTGATAACAATGATGCATACATGCGGGCCTTATTGTAAGTGGAAGTAACCTCGGAATAGGCGTGACTCTCCAGACATTCTGAAATGGGTTGCTGGATATGCAATCACTTTCTAACTCCCGGACTAAAGCTGTCTACAATGACCATAAATGCGACATTGTAGAGAGAGTTCTTCTATAATAACACTGCGGGCCAGTGGGGGTTAGAGGGAATACACACACACAATTGTTCATTAGTAACATAGAAAATGTTCTGGAGGATGGGAATTTGTTGCCCAAGTGTTGGTATAGATACATTTTTAGCATTTTTCAAAAGGGAAGATTTATCAAAAACTTTGGAGGTCATAAGCAAAGTTCACATGTACATCAAATTTACTCACGAAGAAGAGAAAGACGGCAAACTCCCCTTCTTAGATCTTATCATTATCAGGGAAACGACTTCATTCAATTGCGAAATCTATAGGAAACCAACAAATACAAAGAGAGTAATACCAACAATCAATACGAAACTAACGATTTTAAATTGGCTCACCACTTTAGTATCCTATTGGTCCCAAGCAAACGATTAACGTACCCTATTCTAGTTGAAATTCTATTACTACACTATGTTTGTTTTGATTCGCTATGAAAGTTTGACAGATAAAATGAGGGGTTCGTGAATTTTCCTATGTTTCAAGGGGTGCATCGATTAGCT